GAATGGCAAGGGAGAACATGACACCCCGAGAGTAAATGAAGGGGCACATGCCTGCTGTTTTCCCCTAGACTGTGATGTGATCTGGCCCTGGGTATCCTCTTTATATATGAATATAGAAATTTATTAAATAATAATTTTCATCTGGACTATGACATAGTTCCACAACTTACATAGTTGCCGTCAGTGACTAGTACTGTGGCTGTTATCTGGGTATCCTCTTCATAGTCAATCTGAGCAGCCGTCCTGATTGTACCACTGAAAGTAATGAAAAAATACAAAAATAGAAATGAAATATTTAAGTTATTTCTTTCTTTCTTATGTGCAAAATTGGAGTGAGATTATGCAAAGATATCATTTGTTGAATTTACTAAGAATAAACATCAAGGGTTTATGAAACATTAATTTTTGTAAGTGGCATTGTAGTAAAAAATAATTTCATAACTTAAATCCCATTTAACTTTTGGTAATTGCTCATTCTTTATCAATTCAAAATTTATGTTCAATTCGATTTTTACCAGGGTAAAATCCTTAACCCTAATAAATACTTAATTAATTTATTTATTTGAATATTATCACAACTTTGGACTTACTTTTGTTCACCTATTTGAAATTTGTCAGAGCCTTTTCCAGGCCTAAGACTGTATCTTAGATAGGAACCCTGGAATGTGAAAAGTGAAAGTCAACTATTGAAAAAAAAAACTTGTAAATAAATAAATAAATAAATAAATAAATAAATAAATAAATAAATAAATAAATAAATATCAACTTAAATTTTTTCATCAAATGCATTTCACTTCTGGAATTTTTGAGGCAAATTTCTTTTTAATTCTTTTTTTAAATCAAATTATATTCAATTAATTTTTTAAAAATTTCAGTAAACAGTGGCCAGTTTATTTCCTTTTCCTATACTTGATTTTATTCTAAAGGGCTTGCTAGAATAATGGACTAGTTTATTATACACAGTAAAACATTACTGAACAATGTTACTGGAGTCTTGAAGGTATAGAAAGAGAAATGAACTGAGTCTATAAGGCAACTCAGTTACTTTGGTTAAAACTTAGTGTGAAACATTTGGTATAGGATCCACTTTTGAAACTGTGATAAGTGTAAACAGTGTGTTAAATGTATATAAGACATGACATTGTGTTAGGTGTGACAGGGTGCTAGGTACAACATTGCGTTAGGTGTGACAGTGTGGTCAGTATAAGAAAGTTGACACTGATGTGTCTTGGTGTTCAAATTCATGTAGAGATCAGTACAAAGATATATATAATTTGAAGATTTAACAATGCAAAGTTCAGCAATACCAGATACATATTAACTAAAAAAACATTACGCAATATTAAACCAAATTAATACACAGAAAAGATGAAAAACCATCACCACCCTCAGAACAGACACAGCAATATATCATTTGTTTATAAAATAAAGAAAGTAAAACAAACAACATCTTAGTAAATGAAAACAAGAAGTCAACTGAAACAAGAAAAACTAAGTACAATTGTTAGTACGACACATGCAGATCATCACTGTGTAGGTTTTCACAGTCTAGTCTGACACCCAGAGTATCTGGGGTCACTGGAAACTTTCCTCTACATCAGGTGCGGATTGAGGCCGTTTTCTGGGTCTTCCAGAAGATGGTCAGATTTATCCAAGTTTACATTGATGGGTATCAAATTTTTCTGTCGGAAGATGGTCAAAACATGGAGGATGGATCAACAAAGATAATTTGGAAGACTGTCAGAAAATATCTCTGGGTCCGCCCCTGTATATAACTGGGAATGGCAGAGGGACATGTATGCTGATAATATAGCAGTGTGCTTCCAGTGACTTCTGAAACATGGGGTAAGACATGACAGCTTAACTTGGCAACATTTTCTCCCAGTAGACCATAAATTCTCAACTGATGAAATCGTCTCTTTTTGGTTCAGACCATTTTGAAAATCACATGGTCAGTGGAAATAATGTGTTGCCAACTTAGCCATCACAACCCAAGTTCTGTGCATCCTGAATTTCAGAGATATCTGGAGACTAACCATCAGCAGTAGCAATTAAGCTGTGATGGAGATATGACACTATTGGACATAAGTTTCCAGAAATCTCTGAAACTCAGGGAAGTAGTCTGTAGAATTGCCTCACAAAGAACAGGTGCCCCTGCATGCTATGGGACACGGTGAATACTACATCATTGTTTTTACCCACCTGAGGCTGAGACCCATCCTGGGAAGACAAAATTAGCACATGTTGCTATAGAAACACATAGACCTGTCATGTAATATGATTTATGCATGCAATTTTTGCACAATGTGGTCAAGTTTTGATCTCAATTTACCGGGTATAATTTAAATTTAAACTTATTACTGACCTTGATATAATGTGTGGATATTATCTGTCACCAAGAAGGAAATCAAATTTATCTCATGTCAGTTTTGTCTTTTCTTAGTTTTCTTTAATTTCATCACTTTTTTCCAAATTTTGAGAAAAGTGTTACATCTAAATGTTACATCTCAGTTTCTTAATTTCAGATATATCTGGTTCAATTTATAACATATATGACTTCACTTTGTTGCTGACAAATCATACAGCTCAATACATCCATGCAGTTAACATGACAACTATTAAATCATAACAAGCACATTTGTATTTAATTTGATCAGCAGCTCTAGCATTAGTATGCACTAACTTTTGAAAAAAGTCCATGTGTTTTGACAAACTTACCATTTTTCTAATCTAAATATTTTACCAAGGATCATGTAATAAATCAAACAAGCTCTGATTGCCAAACAAGCAAAAGCTGTAGAAGTGATTTTCAACAAATTGTCAGTGAGCAGTATCCACATGTCAGTGAGCAGTATCCACTTGTCAGTGAGCAGTATCCACATGTCAATGAGCAGCATCCACAAGTCAGTGAGCAGTATCCACATGTCAGTGCCGGTATACACATATCATTGAGACATACCCACATTAAACAGTTATAAAATTTTCTGTATACACATTAAGTTACAGGCCTCAAAACGAAACCCTGTGTATTTAAATCCCACCCAATAAAGGTACTCACCAAATCCATATCCTTTGCTGACACAGTGAGCACAGAAGTGCCTACGGGCACGTTCTCTACCAGAGTGGCAAAGTAAGTGTCCTTAAGAAACTTGGGAGGGTTGACATTGGAAGCCTGTACTCTGATTTTTACCCCAGCGAGTGCATTTCTGTCAGGGTTGTCTTGCTGTGTGGCCTGGAAGATACAGAGGATGTAATGGGGGATAAAATAGTTTCTGTGAGTATGATAGTGTGTTAGGTTTGGTAGTAGTTTTTTGGATGTGACAGTGTGTTGGATGTGACAGTAGTTTTTTTGGATGTGACAGTGTGTTGGATGTGACAGTAGTTATTTGGGTGTGGCAGTGTGTTGGATGTGACAGTGTGTTAGGTGTGACAGTAGTTTTTTGGATGTAACAGTGTGTTAGGTGTGACAGTAGTTTTTTGGGTGTGGCAGTGTGTTGGATGTGACAGTGTGTTAGGTGTGACAGTAGTTTTTTGGGTGTGGCAGTGTGTTGGGTGTGGCAGTGTGTTAGGTGTGACAGTGTGTTAGGTGCGATTCTGATTGACTGGTTTTTGGTATTAACAAAGTCTTAGGCATAACAGAGTGTGTGTGTGAGATATGGTATTTTGTAATGGTGTGACTGTGCTTTGTTAGTACTATGTGATGATGAACTAAGCATCACACCTTTATAAGTTTATAACTTGAATGTT